GGACAACGGGCAATAATTTGATAAAATTTCGCGCGATTTGCTTATTTTCACGTGGCAGCATCACTTAGCAGCATCAAGAAACCAGAAAGAAGCTTTTTTTTCAACAGATCCGCGATAAGTGGTAAAGCCGCAAATACAGCCAAGTGGCGTTGGGCAACAACTGTCAGTCTGAGCTGAGTTTGGTGACGGGTAGCCGGTCGGCGATAATCCGGAATGAGCAACTGTTAACTGTAATGGCGTTCCCAAAAGTCAGACGAACACCTTGTCACAGATCTCTTCAACGAAATGAGAACCAGAAGATATCACAGCTATTATGAACCATTTGTATGGCTCTCCAGCGAATCAGGCGCTCATATTGACCATATAACTATGAACGCTGGCGCAAATTGATTCCACGAATCTTGTGGAAAGTACGTTAGGTACTTATTTTAGGGACGTAGGGCACAACCAGCACTTGATGTGCCCTCGGAGAAAGGAGCTCACTAAGGTCTCAGCTGGTGCTGTTCTATTTGTATTAGTAATGCAATGATTCCACAACCGGAAGAGCTTTTGCCAAAGTGCTTCATCTGTGGCGTGGGCATACTCGTCAAGGGTCTGCGATGCGCTTCCTATGACTATACCGAACAGAAACCGCGCTGCCGCATGCTGAGGACATCGGAAGACTTTCAGTGTTTGACCTTTGATGTCTTCGGAACGTTGGCTGAGTCTTGTGAGAACATCGAATCAGTAATGCTGAAGTACATCCAATGGTTTACAGATGAATTGATCGCACTCCATTGGTTGCACTGGTTTGGTCACCTGCTACGCACGCCAGTTGAACACCCTTTCAGACAGCCCTTTCGCACACCCAGATGAAGGTCAAAAATTAGCCAGTAGGGGTTAGACAGTTAGCTAGCAGCAGATCATGAGATCTCTGAATGAGGACCCGGATACGAGATACATCGATTGTTAGACAAGATTAGACACATCCCTGTAGTGCCCTCAGGGGTGCTTATGGACCCGAGCTATTGCCTTCAATGTATTGCTCTCTTCACAGTCTCCAGAATTAAAGTTTCAGTGATCATCACTTTCATCAGCCACACTCTAAAATGCGAATCTATAAACCCTACTCCACCAACTCATCGGCGAAAAGAAACACTGTGGCACTTTGCTGCAAGTTTGAGGACCGCGGTTGTCAACCTGAATAACCCCCTACTGAAACGTGAACTGCATCAGCCGTGAACAACGCTCAGCCAAACATAGTATTATATACTCTAGTCACTTTATGAAAAAATGAGATAGTTTTTGTCTTTCCAGAAAGAAAGAGGCTTTTGGCTTCATGCCAAATATACGAACAGTAGAACTGTACGTCATCAGCGGTGCGCATCACACGAGACTTCGGAGAGTCTCGAAACCAAGACCCGCTCACTGGAAGAATAAACATCATCCGATGAGTGAAGCCCCAATCTGAGGAGTCGTTGCTCGAGAAGGCAGTCAACATTTGTGACCACGTGATGTGGATCCCGTGATGACCAGCACTATATTGAGTGAAGCCCAATCTGAGGAGTCGTTGCTCGAGAAGGCAGTCAACATTTGTGACCACGTGATGTGGATCCCGTGATGACCAGCACTATATCCTGTCTAAGTGCGAGTTAATTACACCACTGATCAGCTGTTCGTGACCGAACGGTTAAGTGTTCCAACTGCTAATCAGAAGGTCGCGAGTTCGGGATTCCCTGGGGTTTTGCGAAATGTACACTGCAGTTGATTCCCAATAAGAATGAAACAATCATACAGTGCTTCTCGGTTTTTCAGTATGGATTAGCCTCACATACAGGCCAAAATCTCCAAAAAATCCCAAATCTCCTCACGTTATCACCAATAGCACACTCATCTGGTGAATATCATAGACGTGAGATGCCACTCGGTATCAGTTTGGCCAGATGTATTGTGGCTTGGATATTTGTGTGTTGGCTTTTTTCGTCACACTTTCATCAAAGCTAATGCAACTCTCGTGATCCCGTGATGTTTCACAACTTCTAGCCTCACTCCTTGAATTCTTAGAGACATGCTAAAGGACTGTACGTCCTGCAGTATGATCTTCTAATTTAATGGGTGTGAGTCACAACCCAAGAGTCTAAATCACTTTGATCAGCTTTTCTCGTAATGCCTTTGCTTTCTGCTGCTTTTCAAAAATATTCCATATTCCAGATCAACAAGGATCTCTCTCGGATAGAATTCTCTCGCTGATATCTCTTTATTTATTAACGAGTGCATATCGCGGCATGAGTACAATTTAGTGTCCCCGTGGAACACAAAGCTGACGGAAAGTCTGGAAGTTCACCTACCCGACGAGCCCTACGAGTGAGAGGAAGCGGTCGCGGGTTGTCCAAGAGTTTTCAGCAACTTTATGAGTAGTACATGGTGTCCACAAGTTGCACCGCGATATTTTGGATATTGCACGTACTGAAGAGACACAGCTGGAGACAGGTATCATGTTCTAGGTAGCCTCCCATGCTCGAATCCCTCAAGAAGGTGCTAATTTTGCGTTATTTCATCAATCGCTAGTTCTGTGGTGCCCAAATATACGTGGATCATTACGATTGAATGGTGCGCTTCAGAAGCCATTGTCAGGTCTGAATTAGCCCCAACTGCTGCATGTGTCCTTTACGCAGGAGACAAGGTTGGCTATTTTACCTGCCTCGGTAGTTGTGTTAGGTTGGATCGAAGTGTGTCTGATAAAGTCAGTGAGCGAATTCCAAATGACATAATCACGTTTGCTAACTTTTGTCACAGGGTATATCACTGGACCTCGAAAGTCGCGTGTATCAGGCTACAGTAAAAGACGTATTATTGCACGGTTGCGAAACACGGCCTGTGCTGGACCGCTGATGTTTCAGAAGCGTTGATAGTGTCAGCGAATTTGTGACGACGGGTATTCAGTTGCACACCAGGTGGCTACGCGTACCAAAATATCAGCAATCGAGACGAGTGTTGTCATCCGTGCCTCATTCACAATGTCAGAAAACTCAAGATGAACTACAGGGTATCTCATGATAGACACAAAATTTGATTGGATGAGTAAACGTAGCTAATTAAAGAAAAGATAACAAATTTTTTCATTATCAGTAGCCACATGTAGGAAGTTTTGTATGTAAGTGCTGGCATTTTTTGTTTACGATGGATGGTGGTACGCGCATTGAAATTGTGAAACTTTATTATTCCCTTGGTGAAATCACCACCGATGCACTTAGTGGTTACAAAACCAAATACGGTCTCATCAAAGATCCTTTCACCGTGTCGACCATTACACGCTTGATTGCAAAATTTGAGTCCACTGGATCTGTATTGGATTTCTCTGGCAAAGGGAGAAAGTCTCTGAGTAACGAACGAGCGCCATTGTGCAGAATGCCGTCGAGAAACTTCAGTCCCAGAGCACCATGGCATCTTCGTCAATAACTCAGGTGTTTCAGTTGACCGGCATTCCCCGCCCAAGCGAGCATCGTATTATGAGACGCCACCTTCATCTCAACAAGATGACGCTCCACCCCACTACTCAAACCAAGTAAGAACTTACCTCCGAGAGCAATTTTCTGATGAGAGAGTCATTGCTCGTGGATTTACAAACTTTTGGCCCGCAAGGTCACCCGATTTCACACCTCTGGATTGTTGGTTTTGGGGAATGATCAGGGCTCACGTATATCACGAAAATAAACCGAAGAATCTGGTGGAGTTCAGAGCAAGAAATGAGGAGAAATGTGTACGAGTGACGCTTGAAGAAGTTAAACATGCTGTGTCCCACATCTTTTACCGCCTCCAACTCGTTGTAGAAGAAGGGGGAGACTTGTTCAACATTTTTGTAGCGTCGGTTTATTCACAGTAAACATCCAATATGCTTATATGTTTACGTAAAAAACAATAAATGTTTGAATTGGGATCAAAGTTTTAACATGAGTATTATTTTTTTGCGTGTATAATGAGACACCCTGTATGCGCAACATGTCAGACAGTTATGGGCTATCTCTGATCCACTTTCCTTGGTGGTATCCCCTGCACTTTGCACGAAATGGCGGGTGACTGATGCCAGCAACATTGGTGTTGTCAGTGTCTTTCCAGACTGAGCAAATGGAGATGTAGGTAACTGGGAATGCGTACGACAGGCCGGCACCAGGGTCCTTCAATTAGCAACTCTTTTCTACTGTTCTCACTCTGTAACTTGGAGCAAAATTGCTAACAACTCTGTGGTTATATGGCGTCAACATCAATGTTGCTATTTTTGATGATAATGATAATGATGACGATGATGATGATGGTAATAACGACTGAAGCTAGGTAAGGTACAGTACTGAAAACCGAATATGTCAGTGAAAATGTTTTTCAAGGAGTAAGGACGTTTACTGAATGTGTGCGCGGCCAAGGTTCAAAAAACTTGAACCCCAACTATTAAAGATCCCGTTAGCGTCTTTTTGATTCGGAAAGATTATCCATAGATTAACCGCCTAGAATTACATCACCCACGTAATGCATCAGTTTGTGATCTGAGGACTGTCAAGTAAACGTCAGCGAATTCTGCCTTCATTGTTGAGACTGAGACCGTCAGGTAGATCTGTTCCCGAGTTAGTGAGGTCACTCGCAGATAACGTAGTCTAAGCTGCTCAAAATGCTGCGTGCCGTACAGTAAATCGATAAAATGTCATTCAGACTTCAAGGCCAGGTCGGTATCTCTTCTTTGAAACGTGAACCACGCTCTGTTCACTCCGTTCTACCGAACTCTTCTAACGGGGGCGGCCTTGGGTCATCTTGGCACCGTATAGCCTAATGATTGGTTATCGAAAACTCGTATGGATCGATTCCCATGCTCCTGGTCGGGTAGTATCGATCGAATGTGCACTTTTACAGACATGAACTCATCACAATCTTTGTATGTTTATTATGACAAACGGATCAGTTTTACAGCAATAAGACGAATTCATCCAGTTTATCTACATGACATGAAACAAATGCAGGAATAAATTTGTGGCTGCTGTTCCAACCATTTGATTTGTGGATCAGTGGATAAAAATACTCGATGGCAAGGGTGGGCAAAAGCAAAATACACAAGGAGGACGGGCGCATAAAGTTTCGAGACATGACATTGGGACTCGGCTAGAAGACGGTTAGGCCATAGCTGTTGTTGGTATTAAACTGACTGAGTGGGACAGGGAATCTGTGTGGTTCTGTAGACTGGTGTCCTCACCACTTTTATTCGGGACTCCATTCATGGCGGATGAGTTGGACGGCAATAATTCAGCCGCTGCGTTAATCACACCACCACCTCCGGCTCCTGCTCGCCCGTCGTCAAATCTAGGATTGACTCCGGTGGTCGCACGGGTTCGTTGTGTTCGTTGTCTCGCGGCAGAAGTGAATTCCAACTCCTCACTCACACCGAGTCTTGATAAAGATTTACAGTGAAATCCGCAGAAAATTAAAAGACGGCGTAATAACTGATGCACGCGGTTTCGGAAATTCTGTCCTGTGCAATAGTAGATAAAAAATCCGAAAGCATAATAGGACAGAGCGAATTCGTCCCCGAAAGCTTTGATAGTCATGAGACGCGTGTAGGTTATCCAGTCCGGGTCTGTTTGCATCTGTGAACACAGAAAACAAAGAATCACTTTAAAGTCAGAAAGCGTGGAATTGAGGGAAATTGGGGTGGGTGAAGAAAAATTCAATAGTGCCTTTGCATGGGATCACAAGATCACGGTTTTCGCTTCATTGATATGCCATTTTCAGTGAATAGAACGGAATAGATTTATTCGCGAGCAAAATAGAGGATTTAGGAACTTCAGCAAGGGGACACAAGACAAGAAGGTTAACTCATCAAATACATATTACTGTCAGGCAGTTATTTGAAACGTTTTGTTGACGAGTAGGCAAAATGGGTTTGAATCTTATGGTAGGATCCTGAAGAACATATCTGGATGGGGCCTGGATGAGGTATCATTACAGCTGTGGATGGATCGATAATCGAGAATGATATCGTTGAATTCATCAATTCTGGATGTCATCAACGGACTTGACGATAAAGAGAATTTAAATCCAGCCGTCCTGAATAGAATCCATGAAGTACAGTCTAGAAATCTAGAGCATTCCCTCGCGTATCACCCTATCTTCTGCGTACTCGAGTGAACCAGCGCTCCGGCACCAGGTGGATTTACGTGGCTCGTGATTAATCCTCAACTATTGGTGCGACCACAATCTAGCACTGTTAAACAATCTGTCGGTATGAAAACCCAAAAATTGCCCGACCAAAGAGTAAAGTTGCCCAGTGGGTTTCAAGCGAGTGTCACGCTACCTGACTATGAAGTCCTGACCGGCGGGTCAATCGATCCTCACAACCAGGACAGTTACTGGGTCGTCGTTCGATGAGTCGGGCAGACATCGCACAAATGTGAACACGATCGCCTGTTCAGACGCATAAAATTCAGATGCGTCCAACGTGCTTTGGACGGATATTGGGATAGTGGGAAACTTGTCCCATCAGTTTGGGGAGGGTTTGTTTTTCTTAGATCCATTTAAGCGGAACTCGAGTCCGGCGCTTCCTCCCTTTGGTGTGGACTCACCCGAATATGTACGCCAGAACAGGAGGACGACGTCTGGACGTTCAACATACATATCCTACAAAATCTCACATCCTAAAATGAAGATGTACGCTTATCGGCGAGAACATACAATCTGCCAAGACAAGGGTTGCCTACATGTGAGGCTGCAGGAGGAATGGGGAATCAGAGTGCATGTGGCTAATAGCCAGCCTGGATGATTTATGTATGTTTGTGTACACCTTGGCAACAGGCGGTTCGTTCAAACTGACCTACGGATCCCAATAACCACGCCTCTTGTTGACTGCCAGAGTCAATCACTTCCTCACTCTGCTTCACATCCTCTGCAAAAGGAAGCGCAGCTGCATACCATGAGTGAGGTTCACACCAGAACAGTTGATCAAACTGAGCGCTTGATCTGCTACGACTGTCTGGCGGAATCCGTCCAGAGTGAAAACGTGTCACTGCATTTCACAACTTGGGTTCCAGGAGGTAGGGCGACATCAAGAAGAGATTCGTCATCGTACCGATTTTCCAAGAGTTGTTCTTGACGGGTCGCGAGGTTCCTGTGCAAAGCATATGAAACTAGCGGGGGCACAAATACTCGTGTATTTGAAGCAGCAGTCCGTCCAGTACTAATCTATGATTGCAAACTTTGACTGTTTTCTGTAGAAGACATTCGAAAACGCGAGGTTTTTTACTACCGGTGTACGGGGCTCATGATGCCCGTCCAGTGGCTTGACAAAGCAAACCAAATCAATCGTTGGGAAACGCTCTTTCAGCACCGCACGTCAAAGACAGCTGCAGTAGCAACGACGACCTTGAATGGTTCGGTCAAGTTACCCAAAATCTGCAAAGCGAACCCACATGGGCTCGTTGACGTGCTCGCTTTGATGTTGTTGTCCTGGAAAGCAACTCCAATCTAGCCGCCCGTTGCTGGAATAGTAATAAGATCTCACTGCGGACCCAGCTTGTGACCACCATTCTTGGGCAGTAACAGGTCGAGTCGAGGTCAGCTCATCCCGAAAAGTCAAGTACGCAACTCACGCGATGATGAGCGAATAGGTGTAACTCGGATTTTTAGTTAGTTCGCAGAGCTGGGCAATTTGATCGTAATCTGTCAACGCATTCACACTCACAGAACACTAGGGATTTCATCTCGACCGTGGATGAAACTTTTTCAGACTAATTGCTCGGTTCAGCGAAAAGGAACCAGCCACCAATGACTGCATGTGTCTTACCGGAATTTGGAAAAGAAAAACAAAGTAGGGTCTGATTTTCCAGAAATACACTCATTTGCAAATCAGTTTGGTTTTCACGAGAGCCTCAACTGAATCTCTGGTTTATGATATTCTACAACTGAAGCGCTTACCCGATTAGCCCCAAGAAGAGCGAAACCGGTCGTGGGCTGTGGAACAGTTTTCAGCAATCTTGTGAGTAGTTCCTTTATGAAAATATGCTGCGATTTTCGCGAAAACAGTCCAATTTGGTTTGTAGAACATAAAGTTGACGGAAACTCGAGGACTGCGCCTACCTGATGAGCCCAAAGCGGAAGGACGAAACCGGTCGTGGGCTGTCAAAGAGTTTTCAGCAACCGTGTGAGTAGCTTCCTTAATAAAAGTAGGGTCTGGTAAATTCTAGAATTCTTGACAACTTGTAGGTGAAACGGCCTTAATATTGAATCATTTTAGAAAATACGTATACTCGTTATTTGAAAAATCTGCATGGCCAACAGTATTGGGGAAAAATGATGGTTTTGAAATCAATAGGCTTTTATGTTGCGCCTTTCGTTTATTTCTTTCAGGAATCAAACGGTTATTCGTGGAGCTAAGGTGGATTCGGTAAGTCTGAAACGAATATCTCATCAACGCGATCGTTTCCACGGCCGGATTACTCCTGATCTAAACAATAAAATTGCTGCGGGCCATTTTCACTCCACCGGGAAGCAAATCGTTCCATAGTTACAATACTTGCATCGAGCGGGAGACAGCCATCGGTTTGACTACTGATGCAATGATGTATACTACTGATAATGCATGCGAGTAGTGTATAGTATGGTGTCCAAAATCTACCCCCGCATCTGAAGGAACGTGAAGATTACCACATATTTTATTCAACCACATTCAGCGTTTGTTCATCATCGTTGAATATTCAAAGAGTGTCGAGGAATTTCAATAAGGGCACTTGAAGATGTGCACTTTTAAAAAATTCTGTGCAGATGAAGTATTTACTTTCGTGTCCAACCGTTTGTGACCGTTCGGTGCGTGTTTGCCAACAAACAACTTTGCAGTGATGTGTGTCTTGGCTTCGACTATCCGAATACGCTTAAGTATGGCTTCCAAGTGAATGGCATATTCTGGTTCAAAATCGTTTAAATGGGAACGTTGTGCGAGCTAGAGTATCTTGCCGTGTACGGGGATGATATTCGAAACAAGGACATACTGCTCGGTTGAAGTCCATTCTGAAAATCGGCTCCGTGACTTCCGTAGTAGCCTACACCTTCCGTCAGATGACGGGGGGGAGTTGAAACAACAGACTAGACATTAGTTGCATGCCTTGTCAGTAGTATGCACCGTCACACTGCTCGCTACTTCCCAGCAAACTTCTTGGAGAATACAACAGATAAATAAATGGACAAAATTTACAATTTTTGGAGTTTTTGTCAGGTAACACTGGCTAGTTAGAACGTGATACCCAAATAGTACTTGATATAGGCCAAAGTTCCGGCAGTCGTAAATTTGCGGTCTGACTAATTTGACCAGGTACTAATAGGAGATGGGATCCTTGAGATCTCAGACGAACAATGGGTTCTAAAGTAGATGTTGACGGGTCGGATTTGTGACCATTTGTTTGTGAGTTTGAGGCTTCCCAGGCATGAGCTTCCGGACTGAAAATTGCGTCTGATGGTGTACAACTGACCCTTTGCGTCTTCAGTGGTTCCGAACGCTGCTGAATTTACGCTAAAACACGAAAGGCACTGTACATCTGTCTTAACTTCACTTAGAATCATCAGCTGTGCGAAACCTCCTTCGAATGTTCAGTCATGAGCGGCTGATCAGCAGTGGTAAGACAGGACAGAGGCACCAGTCATCCCTTGTGCTGGCCACTTGGGTTCTACTTGAATCCGAATTAGACTGACTTGGACAAATACACTCAAATAAAACATAAGGTTGTCGCGGGGCGGCGCCTACTTACCAGTCAAAAGCTCCTATGTGTCAATCGGTCAACATTCCAAAACCGATAAGACCTAAATAAGATTTTATTCCCTCACTCTGTGCGTGCTTATCTGAGAGACAGTGTATTTCTGTGAGGGCTATTGATTCTGCGTTCATGAAAACTGTTCCACGGTCTATTGATGACGAAAAGGAACCACTCTAGCCAATCAAAAATCGGCTACTAACGGCCTTGAACACATGAGCAGATGAAGCGAATTGCGGCTTCGCGAAGGATTAATCGCTTTCCAGGAAAAAATACAGCTCGCAACCAAAAAAAGACACCAGACTGTTTTCAGCTTACCTCTTCATCACTGAGACTGGGATTCGGGAACTTTTGCATGTGATGCAGGACGTAGAGAATTCCACCGAGCAGAGTTGTGATGATCATGTAGAAACTCACAATCAACAACATCAAGGTCGTAGATCGGAAGCTTGGGCTACTCTGTCCCGATCGTTTTCCATTTTGTTCGATATTGACATCACGTGCTTTTGACTGCCGTCGGGAAACCTGAGATCCATTCGAACCTACATGTCCTGATCGCCTTTTGGACTCGGGCAATGGAAACGTGACACCGGATCCCGTATACGGCTGATCCGTGTGACTGGAACGGGAAGATCTAATCCCCTCAGGCCGTGGTGACGGTGCGAAAGGGGCCCCAAGTCTGGTACCTGGTGCAGTGTTCGCATCTTCCGAGGGCATTATTGTCGATAGTCGAGCAGAGGCCGAGGCCAATTGTTTATCCGCTCGATGAATCCTTGCCAACTCTCGAATAACAAGGCAATTGAATAGCAATACAAGCAAGGGGACTACGAACGAAAATACCAGTTCGAGGCTGGCGAAATAAACGTCGGGTGCTCTGGTCTGTTTGAAACGTTTGTCGCACTCCCCACGGTTATCGGCCATAAATACGACCGCATTGCCGGAACAGGTAATAATTGTGCCCACAATGATTCCAATACAGATGTAGATCGCTCGACGAGGCGAGCTGATACGCTCAATGGCGAACGGTCGATAGATGGCCAGCCATCGTTCCACTGTGAAACCAAGAACAAACAAGGGCGATGCATATTGAACGGCTGTCTGTAACGTGTTTTTCACCTCACAAGCACCAGGTGGATTGTACACATTCACGGACCAAGTGCGCGATAGATCGCGCAACAGAGCGAACACAAGCACAAATATATCATTCAGAGATACGGCCGCCAGGTAGATGGCAGCCGAGTTCCCAATGTACACACGACGGCTGGTCCACACAACGAAAGATACAAGATTTCCGGGGAATCCAACAATGTAGAAAACCAGCGTGACATAACGATCCACAAAGAGACAAACAGGCATGATATTTTGTGCAAGATCTGCCCAGGTTGGGTAGCGATGGAACACATCTGTGAGGTTCGTGGGTGCAGGCGCAATTGTACTATTCGTGGTGGAGATTGCGAAAGGCACAAAAACAGCGGCAATGATAATTCCAGTCGGAAACATGAAATTCCAAATCATGTGTTCTTTTCGTCAGTTAGAAGAGGCCTGAAATGGAGAAGCGAAACGCTCTAGTATTAGATTGAACTTATATTCAAATATGATTGAGTAAAAATTGATTTTGGACTTGCGATGCAGCCTGAACCTTTATAGTATGTCGTTTTTTTCGGCATCACGCTACTAATAAAGTTGATGACAAGGCTTCAGCAATCTAGTCTCTTTCCAGATCTCATCGGAAGCAAAAAATCAGGCGTATTCTTCCAGTTTTTATTATTTTTTGTTCATTACTTGGACTCAAAACTTCATTTGAGGTTGTAGCTAGTGGGACAATGTACGGAATATAACTTGAATCTTCTACTTACAACATTATTCACCTGAACGCGCTGCCGAAAAGTAGCAGGTTCCAACCTACCACAAACACCGGCTCCCATTCTGATAATCTTCATACATTTTGCTTCAACAATAAAAGAATAAGACAAACTTAACTGGATTTATGTAAAGTTAATGAAGTCTCCCAGTTAGCCGTCTTTCTTTTGTCCCAGTTGAAATATTCAGCTGGGTAGGCACAAGACACTACTCAGAATGTTGCTGGAAACCTATTTATCCCTTCTAGAGACTCCCCGGGTAGACGCGATCTCCGAGTCTCCGTCAGTTTTATGTTCAGTTTAGACTCATTCGGGGCTCTTTTTCGCCAAAATACTGTGAAAATGGCGCGCAAGTGGAAAAAAGTGTGATGGAGATCTTGGACTATTTCTACCGGATGAACCGGTAGTGGGCTATCCAGATGTTTTCATCCGCCTGTAGTGTTATGTGAAGAGAAACACCACGAACTCTCAACGGTCGTTCTAGGTGACGCGGTTGAAGCGATTGCGAACAAGCGATGCAGATGCGATTTAGGTGATCTTCTTTGAACACCGCTCAACGACTCATGCTTAGTTTAAAGATGAATGGAAGTTGGAAGTTTACCGGAGAAGGAGGATGAATAACTTTGGTTTTCTGGACAGTACGGTGACAGTAAGGGTCGCTAAGTTAACTTTCGTTTTTAAAACGCAAATTGTAGCTTCCAGTATGACTGAAAATCGGTTACTGGACAATGGTCATACATTACTGGAAAGTGTCCAGCTACGTTCAAACTGTTGGTCAGCATGACCGTCTGTTGTTCTTTTTTGAAGATGAACAAACATTTGTTCAGACAAGATGACCCCAAATTAGCCCGCCCGATAACTTCAAAGCACGGAAAGTTGACTTCCGTCTCAGTAGTCGCCACGCGAGATCACCAAATGGGGAAAAAACATTTTCGTTGACCTTTTTTCTTTGATGCATAAAAACACCTGGTCATAGTTTGGTCGATTTGGCATTGCGGGTCGTTGCAGTGTTAAGCGAATTTCTAATAAACCAGTATTTAATTTCAACTAATGGATTAAACTCGGGTTATTCCACTCATATTCGCCTCAAATAATTGTCCTTTCTGAGGACATGAGATGTTTCATATGATGGAGGTTTTGTGTCTCATTAATACGCTATTAATAAATAACTTTCACAGTCACGTGGTACCCGAAATATGGACACCTTATGGTAGACCGGCCAAATTATTCCATCATATTCCTCGGATAGTGAAGCACAGAATCAAAATCACAAAGCATTATACCTCACCGTGCCCCTTTTAATTTTTCTCATTACCTTGTCTCCCACTTTCACCTTATCCAGTAGATTACTAGTACTTTATAAGTAGTGAGAGAGTTAGCCTGTCGAAATTCATCGGGTTGTTAACGAAATACACCGTTTGCAAACCAATTTCGTACTTGTGAGAGGCTCACCTGGAACCAAGCTGAATCTCTCGTTTGTGATGTTTCCACGAAACTACACCAGTTGCACCAGGCCGCCTCATGTTCCGATTACTACCATATTCGAGATATCGCGATACATGTGTATACGTAATGCACTGCTCATAAGGTTGCTGACGAGGTATCAGTAACCTAATGAGTAGTGCATTACCTATATCACCTGCTGTTTTCGGTGCCCTTCGGGGACCGATTCGTATGTCTGCTTAAAAAGGATAACATATTTGGGTTTCCCGGTTTTTATGGATCCAAACTTTATAAGATTCTTCTGAATGCGAGTTTGTTTAAGCAATACCCGATTGTCTTACATATTGGTCAGTTAATCCTTTGCCTTTAAAAAAGGTATTTCCATGTTCCCACGTGTGCAACATGAAGTTAGGACTGAGCAGTTTGAATTAAGGCAAAAAATGTTCCAAAATAGGCTTATTACGGGATGAGATAAAACTTACAACGGTTTGTCTGTTCTACACGCCGTATTATTAGGAGTAATGAGACATCACGTGAATGGCACTGACGTGGTTTCCCTACGAACAAGGTCGTTTGCCTATCGAGATTGTCAACTCAGGGGGCTTTAGCGTTCTATTCAAAAGACAGACTGAGGTGTAAAGTACGTAGGTTTAGTGACTAAGACGTTCTACGCTGACACCTATCCGATGATCTTCAACGGCCTCTATCACGGACTTCTAAAACAAATATGAAATTTGTAATCTACTGCTCATAAGGTTGCTGAAAATCCATCGACAGCCCACGACCGGTTTCGCCCTTTTTGGGGCTCATCAGGTAGGCGCAGTCCCCGGGTTTCCGTCAACCTTATGTTCTACTTGAAACCAAATTGCACGAAATTAGC